CAATCGTACTGCTTTAACTGCATAAAGACAAAATATCAAAGCGCGTAAGCGCCGCGTCGCCGTCTAACGCGTAAACATTGGTACGGAACCCATAGGAATGTAAACCAAATTTATACTTATTGTTAAAATCTCTAAAAAATATCTGATAATTTGATGTGCATATGTCTAATGATCATTTTTGACCGCCAAATGGCATTTTTTTTTACTTTTTTCATTAGATCTCCGAAACCGCTAGACCTGCCTTCATGAAAATTTGATCGGTCCTTCACCTTGTCAATACAAGTAAAACGTTTTTTGAATTATTAAAATCGGACCCTCCGTTCTCTTAAAAACTGAGTTACCGTTTTTGGCACTTTTTGCCCCGTATCTTCGGAACAGCTAGACCTGCCTTCGCCAAAAACTAATCAGCACGTCTCTTTATCAATACGAATCGAATATTCTTTGAATTATTCAAATCGGTTGATCGGTGTTCCCAAAATCGTCGACGAAAATTTGTATCCGCACATACATACAAACACACACACACACACACACACACGCATACATCCATTTTTTCTAAGGTATGCCAAAATATTCAGAAACCTTTGAAACGTCGAGAAATGCAAAAATTTTCATTTTCGATTTTTTTGCGATTACTATAACTTGCCCTACGGGAAGTTAACTAGTAATGTTAGGCTTGGTTTGTATGGTTAAAAATCTGTTTATTGATTTCAGACGATAGTTTAAAATTTAATTTTGCTATTAGCTTAAACTGTGATAAAATATAGGTGCCATAGTGTTTTTTGATGAAAAAATAGAATTAGGTATTAGAAGAAAAGTTATTGGTAGTGAGACGTCCTGATTTAGCATTCTTAGCAATGGTCAGTGTGGGTTGCATAGCGTATGTCATAATAAATGAGTACAGAAGATGGAAAGAGTGATAACAATTAGTTCTTAGTTACAAGTAAGAAGTATAAATGTTCGAGCGTACAAAGAAGAGAAAAACTTAAAAAAAAAATTAGTAAGGAAAATAATAAAGTTAAAACATAACAGTGTTGAATTATGAATAATACAAAACTAAATATAGCTAGGAGACATAAAAAATGCGAACAAAAACATCAATATATATATATATATATATATATATATATATATATATATATATATATATATACATCAACACATGTATATGTATATACATACTCAAATACAAACGGCTCTAAAGTAGCCACAATTAAAAGTAACTATAAATTTACAACACAAAGAGAATAAAAAATAATAATATTTAGTAAAAAACACAAAGTTAAATCTTGAGTTGAGAAGAAGTTGCGTCTTGAGTAGATGAGTGATTGATTCTAGAGTTGTGAAGAGGTGTTTCTCTTTAACGGAGAGAAGGAGTAAAAAGTCCTATTTCCAGCCCAGGATTTTATATGATTTAGTTGTTAATTTTGATGTTGAAATATATGAGTAAGGTCTTGTGGGGCGATACATAAAAAAAATAAAAAGCAAAGATTTATAAATTAATCTTTAATTCCAAACCTTTCGACATTAAATTTAATGTCATCATCAGTGGATCTAAAAACAGTATGAAAAATAAGTATATCTAGGTAATTATAATATATGTGGATTGGTATAGTAGCTATAAATTAAGAAAAAAATTAACAAAACAGCAGCACTTAAAAACAAACAAAATGTAAAAGAGTAGAAAGGTAATAGAGACTAGATATTAAATAAATAAAAAAGGAAAAAGAATATAGGCATAAATATATAAGCACACATATACATTTATATACTTATTTAAACCTACGCATATATATATATATATATATATATATATATATATATATATATATATATATATATATATATATATATATATATATATACGCCTATACATATATACACATATACATATATGCAACGTGCATGCATATTCACAACGACGTACATGTATATGTATGAATTTTCATTCGCGTTCCATTAAAATTTCTGTCATTATCTCTTTTATAGACAGGGCTATTTTACTAAGTAACAGTATGTTTTGGGAAAAAAATTTGACCCTCATTCGTTCCGTTCTCAAAGACAATAGTTACCCTTCGCACTTGGTCAACAACATCATTAATAATAGATTAAATTATTTACAAACGAATTCTAATAATTCATTTTCACCTTCTTGTTCAAATTTAATAGCGTCCTCTTCCGCCCAATACAAAGGAACTATCTGTTTACCTTTTTTAAGCAATTTTTTGTATTTTTTAAAAAAGTTATTTTCTTCAGAAGGATTCCGATTAGTTTTTAGTTTTGATAATACCTTTAATTGCCTTTTTTCGGTTCTTAAGTCTGGAACCCCGTCTGATAGGGTCACCGATTCTGTTTACAGGTTGGATTGCAATGATAGCAACATGTGTTATATTGGAGAAAGTTCCCAGTATATTTATAAGAGATTTAATCAACATATCTATAATTAGAAAAATCCAAACCAATTCAAAACGATGTTTTCAGATCATATGCTCAATCTCAATCACACTTTTAACACTTCACATCCTGTTATTCTTTATATCGAAAAAAATAGTGACCTTAGAAAATTTGTTGAATTCTTTTTTATTTCATTAAATTCCTCCTCTTGTGTTAATAAACGCAATTCATCCCACCTTTTACATGATAGTTATCAGATTGTTATTGATTTTATTAAAAAAACAAAAAATTAATTTGCTATCTCTTTTATATTATTTTTTACAATATTGTTTTTTCTTGTTCTAACTTTTATATGGTTTGCTTTTTCCTTCTGATTAATTCCAGCTCAAACACTGTGTTCGATGCGTTTCGTGCCTCGAGCATATGTCCTTGATGCGTCCCCTCCCATTCCTATCAATACGCCTATTGAAATAATTCAGTCGAGTATGGTTGCTCGGTATGGGCGTGTCTCTCGCTTCACAATGATGCATTTCATAACTTTTAGTCAAATTAGTTTTCAAATCTTTTAGTTATTCATAATTTTTTCTAAAAAAATGTTTTTCTCTAATATGTTATTAAGTTTAATTTTTAAAATAAATTTTTGTTGAGTGTTTTTGTCCTGTGGTGTGTATAATGTTTCTCTATGCTATAATTAATTTATATTGGTGTTTATATTAGTTAATAAAATTTTCAAATTGTTGTAGTTGCTGAATGATGACACGCATCTTGTGTCGAAACGTATAAATAAAAGTTTTTATACTTTATATCTTTTTTATTTCGACGAATGGGCTGCTAGTTACTTTTAAATATGTTTCAACGTCGAAAAAACTATCAAGATATATATATATATATATATATATATATATATATATATATATATACGCCTATACATATATACATATATGCAACGTGCATGCATATTCACAACGACGTACATATATATGTATAAAACATACATATACTCACACCTATCTATGTAAAAAAAAAAGAAAACAAAATTTTCTCACGTCAGAAATTAGTTATTTTGTCGTACAAAATTTATAATTAGTTCCATCAGTTTTAATAAGGTACTAATAAGTCAGTGAGCTGAGTGATCCTCGCCTCTGGGTGCAGGTAGAATTTTTGTTAAAATGATCCCCATCAGAGGGGACATAGTGTCAAACAATGCTGGTGATGCAATCAATGAATCACACAATAATTTGAACACAACGCTATGTCCAGGTATATCAGATATAGCCCAAAACCCGCTGACCAGCTCATGCGACGGTATGACTAGTAAAGTAGAACCAGTGGCTGAACTGTCGCATATAATTCCGGAAAATGTCATTTTACAACGGAATGAGTCATTGAAGTGCCTTGAGAATCTGATAAATGAACTGCATATGATTGTCAAATCAAAGTCAAACATACTAAAGAGGTGAAAATAAAAACAGGCAACATAGCGGCCGTAATTAAAAGATTTATTGATTTAGACAACCAATTGTTAGAGGAAAAAGGCCGAACCACGGATGATACGGAAGTTATGATAAATGAAGTGCAATGTTGTGAGACAGCCCCTATAAAAAAAGTGTACGGCAGGACACAAGCAAAGCCACAAGAAACCGAAACTCACAACATATAAGCAATAATCAGGTGAATGAGAAAAATGGTTTGCCAAGACGTCAGACGATCATAGAAATATGTAATGAAGAAGAAATCGAGGTAAATGACTGGCATAAAGTTCAGCCGAGAAAACAGAAAAAAAAGGAAGCAAGGGTACATCTGTCAGAACAGGACTCTAACCATAAAATGATAAAAAATCATAGAATTTTTCCAAAACCAAATGCCTTATTAATCCGGCCGACCGAAAAAGTTAATTATTCCGAAATATTACGTCGCATCAAACATGATGTCCCTGATGACAAGGTAAATACGACAGTAGACAAAATAAACAAAACCAGAAATGGAGACTTGTTGATAACTATTTCTAAGAAAAGTGAGGATAAAAACCAAGGACTGCAACAGATTATCGCAGGTGTGTTAAAGGATGAGGCCGAAGTTATTTATAAGGGGCACCAAGAAACTATAGAAATAAGGGATATTGATGTTGAAATCTCAAAAATTGATATCCAGATAGCACTACAAAAAGCAACCGGGGGAGCCTGCAACACACCAGCAGAAGAAATTAGGCTTCGTAAGGCATATAGAGGTACCCAGATTGCTACTGTAGCTCTTCCAGCGGCAGTTGTACACGATCTGCTCAAAGCAAGTAGCAAAATACGAATTGGATGGGTCAACTGTCAAATTAAAATCATCAAGAAACCAATTCGATGTTTTAAATGCTGGCTATTCGGACATTATGGATCACAGTGCAAGAGCGAAGTGAATCGGACCAATCTATGCTTTAGATGTGGACAAGAAGGTCACAAAATAGCCAACTGTATAAATGCAGCAAAATGTGCACTATGCGCTGAAAATGGAAACTCTGAATATGTAGCACATCATGCCGGCACTCACAGATGTCCTCTATATAGGAAGGCCATAGAGAAAATAATGAACGCAAAAGCATGAAGATAATACAGCTTAACATGAATCATTGTGAGGCTGCACACGACTTGCTTATGCAGACGGTAAGAGATATGAAAATTGATGTTGCCCTTTTATCAGAACCTTACAAACATCTAACTGATTGGCCATGGAAACGGACAGTACCACCAAAGCCGTTATTTGGTCCTGTGGCAAATTTTGTTTCCAAAATGTTGTTAACAATAGCAACGCTGGATTTGTCGCAGCATTATTAGATGGCATACATTTATACAGCTGTTACGCTCCACCTAGTCTTTCTTTGCCAGATTTTGTCGATTTTTTAGATCGTCTTGTGGAGGATGCAAAACGACACCACCCCGTAGCGATAGCCGGTGACTTTAACGCATGGGCGGTAGACTGGGGAAGTAGGAAGACTAATGCAAGAGGTAAAGCACTTTTGGAGGCCTTCAATACACTTGACGTGGTTTTACTTAATAGTGGTGATAAACCAACCTTTGAAAAGGGCAGTGCAAGCTCAATAATAGACCTTACTTTTGATAGCAATAGCCTCGTCAGAGGAATTTGCAATTGGGAGGTATTAGATATCTACACTGCTAGTGACCACAATGCAATCATCTGGGAAATATCAACAAATAGAAACATTAGTAGAAATGCGAAAATATCTAAAGCCATTGGGTGGAAAATAAAATCTTTTGATGAAAGCGCCATGAGAGTTGCCTTAAATTGCAAACCTATAATTTCAGAACACGCAGATGAGCATACTAGAGAGCTGATGGAGAGAATAACCGAAGCCTGTGATATCAGTATGACTCGTAAACATGGCATAAATCAAAGACAATCTGCGCACTGGTGGACTGAAGAAATCAGCTCTCTTCGTAAAGAGTGCCTAAAGAAAAGAAGGATCTCTCAGCGTGGATATAGTCTTAGTAATTCTGCACAACTGGTAGTGGAATATAAACAAGCACGTAGACAACTAAATAAAGCTATCAAAGATAGTAAAGTTAGGTGCTGGAAAGAACTTTTGGATGAAGTCGAGGAAAATCCATGGGGAAGACCTTATAAGACAGTAATGTCTCGCCTCAAAAGCCAGCCAATACCTTCACCAACTTGCCCACGACTATTGAATAAAATAGTAACTACTTTGTTTCCACGACAACCTAATTTGAACTACCAGGTAACACATGTAGAACAGAATAATATTCCACTTATAACACTGCAAGAACTGATGGAAGCTTGTCATCGCGTTGGTAATAGCAAGGCACCGGGATTAGATGGAATTCCTAATATTGCCTTGAAAACATCAATTATGACATCTCCGACAATGTTTCTTAATGCATATAATACATGCCTGAAAGAAGGGGTTTTTCGACGAAAATGGAAACAGCAAAGACTAGTGCTTATTCCCAAAGGAAAAAAACCACCAGATAAACCATCATCCTACCGTCCAATATGCATGCTGGATACAGCGGGTAAAATTTTTTAAAGAATAATTCACCAAGGAATAGATGCAGTAGTTGATCCAATCCTAGCAGACAATCAGTATGGTTTTTGCAAAGGGCGATCAACTATCGATGCTATAAACTTGGTAGTTAATACCGCCAAGGAGGCAATTGCTAGAACCAGATGGAAGGGGGGTTCAAAAAAGTACTGCCTTGTAGCTACATTGGATATAAAAAATGCTTTCAATTCTGCAAACTAGGATTGCATTATGAATGCACTCCGTGACAAGAACGTGCCAGCATACCTATGCAATATAGTCGCAAGCTACTTTACAGACAGAATTCTAATGTACAATTCACGCGATGGTACAGAAGAATATAATATAACAGGAGGTGTGCCGCAGGGCTCTGTTCTAGGCCCTTTGCTGTGGAATATTATGTATGATGGCCTTTTGAGACTAGAGTTTCCAGAATGTGTGAAACTAGTAGCATATGCAGACGATGTTGACATAGTGGTTGTCTCCAAACAAATTGATGACATCGTAAGCCTATTCCATATTACATTCAGAAAAATTAATCGGTGGATGGGAACAATGAATCTCCAATTAGCACAACAAAAAAGTGAAGCTGTTCTTATCACTAGTAGGAAAAGAATTGAGACCATCAAGCTAAAGATAGGAAATTTTGAGATCACGTCAAAACCTCACATCTGTTACCTTGGCGTAATGCTTGATGCTCGTTTGAATTTCAATCAACAGGTGGAACACGTTAGTGCTAAGGCGTCAATAGTTACGACGAAACTTGCTCGACTGATGCCTAATATTGGAGGTCCTAAACAAACCAGAAGGATATTACTATCGTCAGTTATTACTTCGGTGCTGACATATGGTATCTCCATATGGGGTGATGCTCTTAAATCTCAAAAATCGAGGAGAATGGCAGGGCCCTTATACCGTCTCAGTGCTATAAGAATTGCTTGCGCATTTCGCACAATATCGGCGGAAGCAGTGTGCGTCATTTCAGGAACTGTGCCTCTCTTAGTCTTAGCAGAGGAAAGACGGACAATTTACCATAGAAGACATCAACAGCTGTGTCCTGAAAAGTTAAGATTAGAAGAACGGCAGAACAGCATTGACCGATGGCAGCAACTGTGGGATGTCGCTGTAAAGGGCAGATGGACGCATCGTCTCATTCCTAACATCAAAGTCTGGCTAAGTCGCAAGCACGGCGAAGTAAACTATTATACTACGCAAATGCTATCGGGGCATGGCTGTTTTCGAGCCTACCTACACCGATTCAAGCACGATAGCTCGCCGGATTGCCCATATTGAGCACGTGTTCTTCGTGTGCCCGCGATTTGGTGCTCTACGGGATGATGTGGAGGAGACATTGAGACGCACAATTACCCCAGGTAATGTTGTTGAAGTGATGCTGACAAGTGAAGCTGCTTGGAACGCCATAGACAGATTTGCGAGAGACGTTTTAATGGACCTGCGTTCTATAGAGAGAGAAAGGGCGAATGGGACTTCGCCCATTTAAAAGATAAGTATAATGTTTATGAATCATAACATTGTTTATAACAAGTTAAGAATTGTAACATTCTAGATCCTCCCCCCACGAAGTAATGCCTAACGGCGGTTTCCGTGGGGACCAGAGGCAGGGGCAAAGCGGAGGTTTTAGTCGGTATTATACCAGGGCGGTATCGAGTCCGACATACCCAGACAGAAGACCGGTCTGGGATGCATAAAAGCATTTCCTTCGCTATACAAAAAAAAAAAAAACCTATCTATGTAACTATAGCTACACACGTATACATATACATATACGTATACACATATACATATTAGAAACATTAATTAAACGATTATTTATATAACCTCAATGTTTCGCTTGAAAAGTAATACACATATATATGATTATTCAATATAATAATAATGCACGTATACTTATCAATACTCTATTTAATCGTCAGGATATTATATAGTTATATTTACAGTAGGTCTTACTCCTTCGACGGTTCTATTAGAAAAAGGGCTTAATTCTAGGCATTTACAAACTAAGTGACACAATTCTCGCGCTCAAAAGTGCGTGAATTCGACGACCATAGAGTTGTTCTTCGTTACGCAATGGCAACGCGCGAACATTCAAAATGCGGCTAACACTCGGTCATCCTAAACCTTACTCGTCCTCGAGGAAGTAATCTCTGACGTTGTGGGCGACTCCTGGAATCTTCCTGTCTCAGATGGTCTCCTTCCAGTCCTACTTGATCTTCTCCCAGTCCTGTCCGGTCTTCTCCCAGTCCTGTCCCATCTTCTTCCAGTCCTGTCTGATCTCCTTCCAGTCCTGTCCGATCTTCTCCCCGTCCTGTGCCCTCTTCTCCCAGTCCAGAGTGGTCTTCTGGCATCTTCTGCTCCATCCGGATCCTTCTCCAGTGCGCTGGGATGCTTCTCCAGTTTGTCGAGGTCCTCTTCCATCTGGGTTGCTCCTCTGGTTTGATGTGTTTGTCTGCATTCCATTGAGATTTTTCCCACATAGGCCTCATCTGCATAATTTGGATATTCTCGGGCCTCGGCGCAATCTTCTCCTGGTCTATTATCAGCCTGTCCCTGTCCAGCACGATACTCCTGCGGTCCAGTGCCTTCCTCTCCTGGTCCAGTATTGTCCGCTTCAGGTCAAATGCCTTCTTCTCCAGCTCTAGCGCCTTTCTCTCCTGGTCCAGTGCCTTCCTGTCCTGGTCCAGTGCCTCCAGCATAGTTCTGACCTCATCCGGTGTAGCCTGTTCCCGACCGGTATAGCCTTGTCCTCGTTCGGTACAGCTTCATCCCGGTCCAGTGCTGCCTCGTCCTGGTCCAATGCTGCTTTGTCCTCATTTGACCTAAAACTATTCAAACAAGGAATTGGTTCAATTGTGTCTACTCTGGGTTGGCTCCCCATGTCTAAGTCAGTCACAACTATAGGTTCTGTCTTTGTCTCTGTCTGTCGCTGTACTGTCCAAACTTGCTCTGTGTGTATCGTCAAGTCTGCGTATATATATAGGCGTATATATATATATATATACGCCTATATATATATATATATATATATATATATATATACGCCTATACATATATACACATATACATATATGTAACGTGCATGCATATTCACAACGACGTACATGTATATGTATGAAACATACATATACTCACACCTATCTATGTAACTATAGCTATACACGTATACATATACATATACGTATACACATATACATATACATATAAACACATATATATACACATACATATATATACATATACATACACAATACATACATATATACATATGTACATAAATGCTCACATATATATACATATATATATATATATATATATATATATATACACGTATACAACTACATGTATACACATATACATATGTACATACATACAAACATACATGTAAATAAATAATATACATATATACATACATATACGTATATATACATAAACATATATATATATATATATATATATATATATATATATATATATATATATATATATATATATATATATATATATGTAAACTCGTATATATGTAAAGCAAACAAAATATTTATGAAGATGGATAATGCATATAAAATACAAGTGGACTTACATTACGTTGGTAGGTTACATCTAGAACATAAAAATAATATTAGAGTAGTTTGTACTTCCGAAAATACTTTTTTAACTCTTTTTACAAAATAAAATCAAAATTTAACCCAAGAATCTTAAGTAATCTAGTTTATAAGCTTAATTGTCTAGATTGTAATTGCGTCTACATAGGTGAAACTAGTCAGAACCTGCACAAAAGAACATCTCAACACAAAAATAATTCTAAAAATAAAAATCAGTATAAAACACAATTAACAGATCATATTAATCAGCTCAAACATAACATTGATTTTTCCAATCCCACGATCCTACATTTCGAAAATAATTTATTTAAAAGACGATTTAGCGAAGGATGCTTAATATCTTTACACAAGGATACAGCCATAAATTTAAGAACTGACAACAATTCGCTTTGCAATGACTATAAAATAACTCTCGACCATTTTCAAAAACGCCACCATATCTGAATGAAGCGTGTATTTTTAATATTTTATTATTTTACAAAAAACATATGTCTGCCGGTCTTTTTACACTTTCTCAAAAAATTGTAAACACAATTCATTCAGTTTTTAGACGTTAGTCAATTTGTACACACTAGAATGTAAGCATAAAATTTTCAAAAAAATTAATTAGTTTAAATGTTCCAATTATTAATGGCCTGGTTTATCACAGTGTAATAGTGTAGTGTATTTTTGTATAATTAATTCCGTAAGTACTTATATATAAGTTATAACTTTATATTATTTCCTCCTACATCATATAAAGTCTTTTAGTTTTCCACTGAATGACGGTCTCGATGAAGACCGAAACGTATGGATAAATAAAATATTTCAAAACTACTTTAGTTTTTTTTCTTTACTTGGTATTACTGCCCGATTCTAAACAACTCATCAAAATATATCATCAACACCAAAATAACATATTTCAATATATATATATATATATATATATATATATATATATATATCAATATATATATATATATATATATATATATATATCAACACATGTATATGTATATATATATATATATATATATATACTCAAAATCAAACGCCTCTAAAGTAGCCACAATTAAAAGTAACTATGAATTTACAACACAAAGAGAATAAAAAATAATAATATTTAGTAAAAAACACAAAGTTAAATCTTGAGTTGAGAAGAAGTTGCGTCTTGAGTAGATGAGTGATTGATTCTAGAGTTGTGAAGAGGTTTCTCTTTAACGGAGAGGAGGAGTAAAAAGTCCTATTTCCAGCCCAGGATTTTACATGATTTAGTTGTTAATTTTGATGTTGAGATATATGAGTAAGGTCTTGTGGGGCGATACATCAAAAAATAAAAAGCAAAGATTTATAAATTAATCTTTAATTCCAAGCTTTTCGACATTCAATTTAATGTCATCATCAATGGATCTAAAAACAGTATGAAAAATTATTATATCTAGGTAATTATAATATATGTGGATTGGTATTGTAGCTATAAAATAAGAGAAAAATTAACAAAACAGCAACACTTAACAACAAACAAAATGTAAAAGATAAGAAAGGTAATAGAGACTAGATATTAAATAAATAAAAAAGAAAAAAGAATATAGGCATAAATATACAAGCACACATATACATTTATATACTCATATAAACCTATGCATATATATATATATATATATATATACATATATATATATATATATATATATATATATATATATATATATATATATATATATATATACGCCTATACATATATACTCATATATGCAACGAGCATGCATATTCACAACGACGTACATGTATATGTATGAAACATACATATACTCACACCTATCTATGTAACTATAGCTATACACGTATACATATACATATACGTATACACATATACATATACATATAAACATATATATATATATATATATATATATATATATATATATATATATATATATATATATATACATATACATACACAATAAATACATATATACATATGTACATACATTCTCACATATATATACATACATATATATATATATATATATATATATATATATATACGTATACAACTACATGTATACACATATACATATGTACATACATACAAACATACATGTGAATAAATAATATACATATATATATATATATATATATATATATATATATACATATATACATATATATACATATATATATATAAACATATAAATATATATATATATATATATATATATATATATATATATATGTGTAAACTCGTATATATGTAAAGCAAACAAAATACTTATGAAGATGGATAATGCATATAAAATACAAGTGGACTTACATTACGTTGGTAGCTTACATCTAGAGAAGTGTACACAACACTAGAAATTAGCACTAACATTTATACAACTAACTTGTCAACAACATGCATTTTTTATAATTTTTTGTATGATGTAAAAAGAAAAATGATAGTTTTATTTGAATAAAAGTGTAAGTAAAGTTAGGTAATTTTTGCCACGACTTCTGTACTTTGCGCGTTCCGAGGCTTATGTGAGCGACACACGTGTTTTGAAAGATTTTTAAGGGTCATTCAAGGATTGTTATAAGTGGGTAGGTAAAAAAAACGGTTGAAGTTGAAACTAGCTGTAAGTGGAATTCTGTCTTAGGGCAATTAATGCATCGTGCCTTAAGGCAAATTGCTGAAACTTCCCGTACCAAAAATGATTATTTTTTTAAAAACCATTAGCATTTTTGAAAAAATTTTACTTCGAAAAAATAAGATTTTTGAGAAACTATAAATTGGACAAAAAATTACTTTTTTTTGAAAAAAAAAATTAAAGAAATAAATTTTTTTTTAAACATTTTTTTTGAGAATTTTTTTTTTATTTTGACATATTTTGGAAGATCTAAACTTTTTTTCAAAGCAATCGTACTGCTTTAACTGCATAAGGACAAAATATCAAAGCGCGTAAGCGCCGCGTCGCCGTCTAACGCGTAAACATTGGTACGGAACCCATAGGAATGTAAACCAAATTTATACTTATTGTTAAAATCTCTAAAAAATATCTGATAATTTGATGGGCATATGTCTAATGATCATTTTTGACCGCCAAATGGCATTTTTTTTTACTTTTTTCATTAGATCTCCGAAACCGCTAGACCTGCCTTCATGAAAATTTGATCGGTCCTTCACCTTGTCAATACAAGTAAAACGTTTTTTGAATTATTAAAATCGGACCCTCCGTTCTCTTAAAAACTGAGTTACCGTTTTTGGCACTTTTTGCCCCGTATCTTCGGAACAGCTAGACCTGCCTTCGCCAAAAACTAATCAGCACGTCTCTTTATCAATACGAATCGAATATTCTTTGAATTATTCAAATCGGTTGATCGGTGTTCCCAAAATCGTCGACGAAAATTTGTATCCGCACATACATACAAACACACACACACACAC